TACACACTTCCTTTGGCTTTCTCAACAGCAGTTGCTGCTGAGTAAAACGGTTAGAAATAACACTTCACATTAATACCAGTTTATGTACACGAAGACTGACGAAGATTGAAATGAAAATGGGAAACTTTTCACACTAAACTCTTCAAAACTGCAGGGCGACCACGAGGATACGAGGATCTAGAAACTTCTATGAGCACTACTGAATGATAAGCCTAAATAGGTGGTGCATGGAAATATAAACAGGAAAACCCAATCATCGGTTTAGTTCACTACACCCTCTGCCAGGGAGCGCTGATGACAGCGCTAACCGGAGTTGGGGGTCCTTATTTATTCTCTTGGTCCATGGTTATGCGTTGGAATTTTTACGCGGGACGAAGGGGCGGGGCAGGAGAGGTGAAAAAGTGAATTTTAAGTTATCTAGGACGAATGGTACGAAAGAGTGATATTCTCTTGTCGTTAAGTTAAACATTTGTAATGACTGAATTGCATTCCTGCCGGAGAATTTTATATAAATGTTCAGTAGTTAGTTGCAACATAATACAGCCCCCTCCCTCCCATCGGTCTTGGGATACAGTTTTGGGAGCTAAATTCTCTCGGTAAAACGTGTAGTTTAGAATAAGGTATAGTATAATTTCTATCATAAAAGTCATAAAAAATTACTTCGGGTTGAATATTTGTCAAAATATATGTTGACGACTTTTCCTCCGTAAGTATGTTGGCAGTCCAAGGGACTCTAGGCAGTCCTAATCCCTATCTGGCTCCACTTTTAGGTAGGTATCATTGAAATTTATTTTTCTCCAATCAGAAAAATATTAAACCACCAGAATTTACTCTATTCAAGGCTTTTAGACTTCCAGTGTAAAGGAGAAAATCCTTCTCCCGTCAAATTTAACTTTTAGGAGTCACAAATCGACTGTGAAACTCCCAAACCACGCATCTCGTTTTCATTGGCGAGTCCAGCAAATTGACAACATGGTTTTTCTCCATTTAAACCCATGGAAATATATCGATGCTTGGAAGGACCAGTGCTTCTACAAGAATCGATTATTTAATATAGTTTTAAATTGAGGGAATCCGGTGTTGCCAAATTACTGGACCCGCCTCTGCATGCGGTGTTTAAAAATCTCCCACCCCACTTTTTTTTTTTTTTTTTTTTGAAGAACAAATTAATATCATTCCTTGAAGTTTTCACAGAGTTTTCTTCGCATAGAAAAGAAAAATCGCGGAAGTTTGCAAGAATTGACATTGAGCAGTTTCCCAATCACAAAATAAAGTGTGGCAGGATGTCTGCAACGTCGCAAACCGAGGCACGAGGTTTGTCTGTTTCACCGTCGAAACAGCTTTTCTCAGGTTTTCCCGATACAAGAACCATGTGAAAAGCTACAACCAGATGTTTCATAACCTCATTATAATATTTTTCTAAAAGCTGATTATAGCAGAGTTATTCTTTGCGAATTATCCTTCAGTAACACTAACGCTGTTTGATCCCAAAATAATACTAAAGCATCATAAAATGCTCACGCGACGTAAGAGAATTAGGACGGTGCGAGATGTCGCAAAATTTTCCTTAATGTTTTTAAAAGATTATCACACGATATTTTCTTTGCAACATTTTTTGAGAGTAAGAGGGCACAGGAAAATTATAGAGATTTTGCGTTGTTCAGTTGAGACAACCTTCATTACAGTGTGACAAAAAATGTGCAACATCGCAATGAAACGAATCCGATGGAATGAATGTCGATTCAGTAAAACCAGCAATCCGCAACCTGCAACCTGGCTTGACTGAAGACGCTGCGCCTTCATCGGAAGCGTACTTCGTCTTCCAGCAACTATTTTAACTCTCCGGAGATCAAATTGCCTATACCATGAAATGAAGGAGTTTTGAACAAGTCCGGTGCAATCTGCAACTTAGAGCTCTTAATGAGGCATTGCGCCGAGCTGACGCGCCTTCATCGAGGATATGCTTCTACTTCGAGCAACTATTTTAACTCTCCGGGGATCAAATTGCCTATGCGACGAAATGAAGGAATTTCGAAAGAAGCCGATGCAAACTACAAATTAAAATGGATACAAGGTATAAATTTGGGCATTCGGAATTTCTGACATTTGCTTCCTTCTCAAAATTTCTCGTAAAACACGATTTGCGCATCAAAAATCACTAAAATTAACTTGCAACCTAGTTATTTTGGTTTATTACGAAAAATTTGAAACTTTCGCTCGTAAAAAAAGAAAAAAAAAAAAAAAAAAAAAAAAAAAAAAAAAAACCAGAGTCTCCTAAAATCAAATTGCGCATCATAACTTCTTTAGTAGGTTTTTTCTAAGCTACCTACTCTATTATCAATTCTCCACACTTTGTTTCTAAGTAACAGTAACTTGCAATGGCTGAGCCAAATCGGCGGTATTTAGGGTGTCATATTTTAATACTGCAAATGCTGCCACATCGATGCTCAATGTGCGATTTAACTAACGTAAGTAGACTACTGCTCTTTTAATGAGCGTAAAGTTTGAATTTATGCACGGAAAATGTTAATAACTTTGTTAGGAGTTAGTGACAGTAATTTTCAATCTAAAACTCGTGTTCCACGTAAAATGTTAATGCGACAATAATAGATGATAATAAATCATAGTGCTTTTTGCACCTTGCCTGGTGATCCATTCCATTCTTAAGAAGAGCATTGCGTCGTCGTGTCGCGCCTTCATCGAGAGTGTGCTTCGATACGAGCAACTATTTTAACTCTCCGGAGAAGATATTGCCTATACCATGAAATGAAGGGATCTTGAACGAGACCGCCGCGACCTACAACATAGAATTCTATATGAGGCATTGCGCCGCGTTGTTACGCCTTCATCGATGGCTTGCTTCGACTTTGAGCAACTATTTTAACTCTCCGGAGATCAAATTGCCTATGCGACGAAAGGAAGGCGTTTTGAGCGGTCCGCGGATGCGCCGTGAATGTCAAACATTCAACGAGGTTTCCGGGCTTAGTCATTGACGTGTTTTTCGACTGGTACCACGGATAAAATGTCTCGAACGAGAGACAGAGGATTTATGCATGCACACTGTATTATCACCTGAATTCATTTAGTGCAGAAATACTCTTAACACTCCGCCATTTTCTGATCGGTCTGTATGTTTCAGGTTCTCATTGAGCTAGCAAAATATCGACTGAATTTTAGGCGTAATAGGAATTTCCTACTTTCTCAAATAAGCTCTACGCAATTTTTGTTTAATATTTTTACGCATGGAAAAGGGTCAGGAATCGCAGGAGCTTACATTAGGCTTACATGATTCGCAACTTTGCAAATCTGAAGTGAATTCGTGCATTTACTTAGGAGCAGCCTATATTTTCCTTTACAAATTGTTTTGCAGAATGTCTTTGCGATATGATACATCTTAATTTTCCGGAAAATTCGTGATTTGTCGAAGGAGATGAGGCAACGCCGGAAGGCTCATATGGTGTTTTTCCTCAGCACGGCAGAACTCCGAGTTCATCGTTGTCGTCCTCGGCCTGTAACAACCACTCGGGACAACCGGTGGTATCGCTCCATTTTCCCTTTGTATTCTTCGTCTATCGTCTTGTCTATCGCCTTGTCTATAGCTTCGCCTATCGCATCGCCTATTGCTTCGTTTATCACTTCGTCTCTCGCCTTGTCTATCGCTTTGTCTATAGCTTTGTCTATCTTTATATCTACAGATT